TATTAGCGCATGATTTGGATTGACCGAATTTTTTCATGTCGTTTTGACTCAAAATACTTGGCTTGAAGTTAAAAATTGAATGAACGACAGTCATTATTCAATTAAAAAAAAAAAATGTTCAATTTACCTGTATAATTTATTAATTTTGGGTACACGTATATAATTTTTTTTTTCATTAAATGTTAAAATTTCTATTCAAAAATCTTCACTTTTTTTAGGATAACTATATTTCTAATTTTTTTAATTAATTATTCCGGACATCAAATTATGAATTGAAATGTTAAGTATTTAAATACTATGTACATTTTATTGTTGATGTTTATTTTACTGCGTTGATAGAAATAATAACACAATTCAGTAGGTAATACTACTATTACTATTAATTATATCATTTAATGCAACAAATAAAATAAATAAATTATACAAATATTAAACATTTTTTTTTCTTAAAAATTGAATAATGGCTGTCATTCATTCAATTTTGAACTTAGAGCCAAGCACTATGAGACAAATCGACTTGAGAATATTCGGTAAATCCAAATCATGTGCTAATAATAGGTGTTACCGTCAAAAAAATACATTTTTCACTGTGCGCGAGAGCACCGTACAATTGCTGTCAATTTCAAAATGTCACGAAATATGTACTTTAGTACCTCCTAGCCCCCCCCCCCCCCCGCCACCACCAATGAATTTCAATATAAGTTCATCCAGCCGAAATATTAAGTGTTAAATCGGGATCACGCTGTGTACCTGTATGTGTATAATTACCTTTAAATGTGCAGTCCTTTCACGCAACATTTATACGCGCCAAGACCCATATTTTGAATTGTGGGACAGTAGGCCTAATGCAGTCAAGTACAGATTTAAAACACTACGGAAATCGATGTAATGGTACTTGTACAATGTTGTACAACTATCGATTTATCTATTAATAATATTAATAATCCGAAAACAGCCGGAGGCGGCGATTCGAGTGTCACCTTCTGTACACCATCATATTATAATATTATAAATGAATAATTATTGCGTCGGTGGTATTAGGTTATAGGTCAAGATACGTGGTAGCTGGTACCTAATACCCGAATTCTGGTAATGGGTAATCATCGACAGCACGACTGTTCTATGACGCTCGCCGGTCTGGTTACGTTGGTACTTGTCAGCCGCGTACTTGGAGCTTGAGGTCTGTCGACCGAACGGAAGACACGACGGTTCGGAATATTATGTTCAATCCGAAATCCCAAATGCTGCTGACTCCGAAGTCCGAACCCGAAAAACTCAAAAAACACACGGCACAGTGTTTTTATCGTATCGTTATAGGTTTGAATCAATTAATCAATAAAATATCTATTTAGAATAACTAAATACAAATACATATTAGATTAATAATAATTAATAATAATAATAATAATAATAACACGTTCAAGTAGAATTAATAATGTTTCACCCGCGATGAGACGGGCTGCACTCGTGAAAACAAAAATCAACAATTAAATTGAATGCTGCGCTCTAATGCCAAAATGTAAGTAAAACGAATGTGTTCAGTGTAGTTTTATGTTTAACGAACCTCTCGGAACTACTTTGGTGTAGGTAAATAATTTTCAATGTACCTACCCTACTCAATTCACTAATGACATTTACTAGTCCGCGTACGCTGTTGAAGAATACGGGATAATTAACGTAGAGACGAGCAATTTCGCGTCCACGTTTTGTCGTTTTTTTCGAGAATAGACCCCTTGGGGGGTAAATGTGTCTTCGAACGGCTGAAATTAGGCGCCTATAGAAAAATTCATTACAGACATTTTTATTCCGACTATACTGATCCATGGCAATACAATATGTATTTCGGTTGAAAACTAAAATGGTAACTGCCTATATTATACTGGTTTAAGAAAGTATTCTACGGCCACTCGGGTTTAGTTAGTTGATTGCTAGATACTGCTAAATTATATCCAGTGGTGTATTTTGGGGAGGGGGGGGGGTACACGGCGTGTACTCACTTGTCTAGTTTTTTTCAAGGGAATACCTTCCAAATAAACGATGATACGCGGGTATACGACCTTAAAGAATTCGAGTTTATCTATTAAGACTTTCGGTGACGAAAACAAAATGTTCTATAATTATTTGTAATTTTCATTTCTCCTATAGCAGGTACCTATTTACTATTTGTCTATTTAGTACATAATATTATTAGCTGATCATTGAAAAACATTTTGAGTGCCAATTACCAGTTTCAGATAATACATTATACCGATATAAATACATTAGATGTCTATTTTTAACTCTTTATGCTCGTAAATTTATAATACTTATAAATATGTGTACGTATTTTATGTGAGTGACGAGTGTGTGGCTATGTGGGTGTGACAATACTTGCAGCCATAAAGGTATAAATAAGTACCTATATACGAGTATATCCGCAGCTCAATTCTGAATCGTTTATTTATAGCAATGTTTATAAAAATTAATTTTGCGATATGCGAATATGTGAGTAACAAAATACAATTCACCACATCTGCGATCAAATATTTACTAAACATTTTTAGTTAATATTTGGAAATTTTTGTTCGAAGTTCATAATATATTTAAAACGGAAAGTCGCCGAGTGGTTTCATCGTTTTCCATTCGGTTTGGTGTTGAAAAATACTTGTACAGTTGTAATATGATCCCCATAATAAGGGCTCTACGTGTATTCGAGAGAAGCGAGAAAAACAATTTTTTGACTTAATGTTAAGATTAAGTACATCATTGACGCCTAAGATTTAACCGCGTCAAGAAAGCGCGTCGTATACCCACGAATATTTTTACACCACCGCAGCTTATATCTCTCGTATTTTCGATGTTCTAATCACTTTGTTACTACAGTATTTACAATTAGTTTTATGTCGGACATCGACTAAACCCGAGTGGGACGGCGGGAGAATAATGTTTTCTTGGAGGGTGTCAAATAAACCAGTAGGCACTTGAGACATTTAAGGGGATTCGAAACGCACCGTTTTGTTAGAAGTTCTGTGTGTAAGCAATAATATAAAATGTTCTGCGTCCGGGTACTCTGTACATACTGCGTAGTAAATGACAGACATGGGTTCAATACTTTTAAAAAGTATTGCGACGTACACCTATCATAGTATTATGGATAATGTATCATAATATATATGATAAAAGCGTAGAATATGTATTATACAATAGTCAATATCGCGGATGGTGTTAGACATATTTTTTCGAATACTTTTAGAAATAGGTAATTACAATATATTTTTGTTTCTGTATAATATTCTCGTATCAGATATTACTATTTATCTTATCTAGATAATTGTTTTTTAGTTTTTACTTTATTCATTATTGGTATTATTTTATGTTTTTTTTATTTTAAAAATACCCCTCAACTACCAGGGTTATTGGCGTTTCTGAAGAAACGCATTACATTTCATTATTTCTAAGACACATTACTACCCACTAAAGTTGTGTACAAAATATTTAAAAATGATACATTATGGTTAAGTAATTGAAATGTGATATAATGTACCTTTGTGTTCTTGTTATATTTTCTAAAATAGGTTCGTCTTTTTGAGGAATATTCCGCTTACGAGTATTTGATACGTTATTATTTCAAATAATCACACATTAATAAAATATAAAATATGTTTCTAGCTACTACTAAATAATAAAACTAATTGGAGATTCAATTTAATTTGTTTACTTACTTAACTATTTATAATTATACTGTGTTAGTGGTTATAGTAAGAAACAAAAGCGATATATAAATGTGTTTAAGATCTCTAAAATTCAGTTACCTCATTAAATAGTGAATAATTAATTATTTATTAAAAATATAAAATAAATATAACACAAAGGTACTGATTTAAAACGTGTAGATTTAAAAATACATGTAAACATAAGCAAAAAAAAATGATCGTAATAATAAAATGGTATTTTTTTCGCATAGTGCTCTAAAATAGTCTGAATACTTTCAAAAAAAGTAATTAAAAATGATTTGGGAAGTTAAAATCATTTAGAATACAGTATTTAAAAGAATCCATTCGAATATTTCTAATGTCTGGCAAATGATTATTGATGTATGGAAACGCGGTAATAACTTTATTAGTGGCCAAGTTTTGTTCTCTCACGAGGCACGTACATGTTAATAATTTGATATTGAAAACAAATTTAAAAGTTTTGCATTAAGTATTAACAATGAACAATCACTAATCACTTAACGAATCAATAGTGAGCTAATGGTTCCTTAAATATGATTTACTGCCGCACTTAATGGTTGTTTCATTCAATTTTATCGAACCATTAAATTAATGCATTTTTCATGCAACCCGCGGTTAATATTTTTACTTACACGTAACTCTTTCCATTGGTTTACCTGAATAAGGTTATATTAGATTAGGTTATACAAATATACAGTTTAGAATAAAAAAAAAATGTAGGTATAGATACAAGAATTTTTCAAAATTTGTTTTAAAGTCGTTCATATCTAAAGAAGACAATACGACTAGGAATCCAAACAGTTTTTCATAATCCATATCACATAATTATAATATCTAAAATATTTTAAATATTTGTGTAAAAAAAATATACTGCATATATTAATATCGTAATAAATAATAATATTATCATTAATAATTAATATAAATAATTATTTAACCATTACTATCAATCATTAAGTTGGAATCAAATTTGGTATTTTAATCACTAACAACAGTTGGGTTTGAATCGCCTTAATAAATAAAAAATATAAACACGGCCAAAAAGTTATATCTCGTAAGTCGTTTGTATTTATTAAGTAACGACCGTCTTATTGATATTTTTTACATTATAAACGCAAAAAACACTGCAAGAATACAATCATAATTATTATTAAAAAAAAAACTATTATCTTCATTACTATATTATTTTTATAATATTGCAAAACTATATTATTATAAATGTTTTATCAGTTTATCATCACTATAAAACGCGATTTATATGATTCACAAATTTGTTCTGCAGATAACGATTATTATAATAATTAACAAAACATATAGGTACAACACACGCACATACAAATAATTGTAAATACCTACTGTAAATGGTAGGGTACATGCCAAATTATATTTATTTATGAAAACTAAAAGGCGAAAAAAATAATTAATGAACTCTATACACTCATCTATTTTACACTAAAAAACGTTAATGTTAACTGAGCTGGTTAGATAGATCGCGTTGGCTTTCAGGGAGTAGCCCTATGAAGACGCCTCGTCGTCGTCGGCTGACAGCATCTGACGAGCGTACCTCTGCAGACTGTCTTCGATGTATTCCGATTTAGTTTTGAATCCGGGAAACAGCAAAATCCCCAAAACTTAAAAATAAAAATACAATTGGTTACTTATTACCATTTTAATATATAATTAATAATTATGTTTACTACACGGTCGATTTTAGAATTTGAATAATTTTTAATTTATCACAGGTATAATATGGATCGGTGTGGTATTGCTGTGTGTCTGCCTACGAATTTGTCTTAGAAAGTAGAGTTTTAAAAATATGATATTTAGAATATACAGGCTTGAGAAAACATGTTATGTTATTGTTGTTAGATAGTATTAGACAACGTATGTTATTGAACTGCTGCGCCCACACCAGAAATGAGCCGAAGATAAATGTTCAGATACCATAATCATTGGTATTTAAATACAGTAATAAAAATGTCATTCGTATAGATAATAAGAAGCATGCTATAAGATATTTTTCCTCTGTGAGAAAAATTGAGAAATCATAGATATGTTTTTGCGTATAGTGGAGTGCAGTGGGTGCGGTGAAAAGTAATCTAGTAACATTATGCTAAATTTTGCTTGGAATTATTAAAAATCAGTTAAGAAAAGAAGTTGTACAAAGCCCAAAAACATATTATCTAGGTATGTCAAAAAAAAATTAGTGAATATTTGTTAATGAATAGTTTAAAATCTCATTTACACTATAAACTCATTTTTTGTTTAGAACGGTTGCTAATCCTAATCTAAAATATTAAAAAAAAACCTATTTAACAAATGTATTAATGTTGTGAATATATATTATAAGTTATAATATATTGACAATTTCTAAATAAGACATATCTATCATTTTAAAACTCGACTTTCTAAAAAATGTTATGATACCATACGTTTCTGTACCTAGATATTATTTAATATAATGCATAGAAATAATATATTGCTAGGTAGTCTACTAGTCTATAAATTCTTACACACGTCGCAGTCACTAATTACAGATGATATACGCCGATTGTCGACGTTCTAAACGTGGCATTATTACCGCATTAGCAGATATTTCTTTTCTACTCGATATAATAAATTATACTCAGACGTTAGGTCTGAGATATGTATAATATACTGTATTGGTACAACAATATGATGTTCATATTTTTCGTCATTGATGACTACTACATACCTATAATTACGTTTTATAAGTTTATAAAAATAAATTGAGGCCCGATACATTGAACAATATGTCTGTAATAAATTTATCGTCAAACAGATCAGTCGATTTGTTGTCAAACACAGGTATACCACATATGGATTGATTTGTTTTTATTTTAAACGATTTTAACCGAAATTATTTGGAGAGAGGATTTGTTTTTGATGTTTTAATAGTATATAAAATGGTTATAGGTAATATAGATTTGCTGAACTTGAGTATTTCAAAATATAAATTTTCTGATAAAGTTTGTGTTTCCAAAACATATGATTTCTAATGTTTGTAAATAGGTACTTGTATTTACAATTTGCTACCTCCACATACCTACAAAATATGATATATCTCGTAATACCAGATTATTTGAAAATCTCTTAATTATATTACATGGTAAAAAGGACAAAAAGGGGAACTAAATCCTTTCATCCATGAAAAATTAACATTTTTCCGTTCGTTCGGAATTTCACTGTTAAACCGGGATTTAACCATATATACCAAGTTGTGTCGTTTTCCATATATATTTAACATGTAGGTAACAAAAAGTTGGTAACACATTACTTCTAAGTTTAATATATTCAACATTTCAACCCTACATGACAGGTGGTGTAGTGGAAATCCGGCATTATTGTAATAAAATAAGTTACAGTGTCAGAGCTTTAGTCTAAATAAATTTTATCTTCTCGTGAGTGTAGACTACAGGCACTTAACAATATATCAAACCCATAATTTGTAAAAATCATGATTGTTTGCAGTAAAATATGTCTACAGCAGTCAAGAATAGAAGTTTCAAATATGTTTAATTATTAACTAATTTACATAAAACTAGTACAAATTAATGATGAGAATATTTACATTTCTTATTCGCACAGTTATTTCAATATACATATATATATTTTAAATTTGGAATTAAGAAATAAATTTGTATAACTTAAAAACAATGAATTCCTTAAAAATAAAATAATAGGGAAGGGAGCGGAACGAATGAATTCCTTTTGATATGGCACATGTCAAACACTCACGGGTTGAAAGAACACTTTTTGCAATAAGTATAGGTAGGAAATACCTTTTAATGTTTAGAAATTAAAAAATATATAAAACATAATACATATCACAAGACCAACTAAACAAAGACTTAAATAAAAAAATTATAAAAAATGTATGAAATAGCTATTATTGTTCATAAATTATAAATATTTGCTTTATATTCGATACCTAAGTATAAGTTAAAACCAATTACTTTTTACGTAATTTTTATATTATGTTTAAAATCATTTATTTGTTTTAAACATACTTACGTGTAACTAGTCAAATTAGTTGTAAGTTAAAATTGTATAAATAGTGTAAATATTTTGAAACCCCTGACAATTAATTTTCGAAGGGTACCATTATTACAACTGCCGAAAATCACAACTACACGATATATTGTACATGTATTTTAAAAATTATTTAATTATATTTATGACAGAAATGCTGGGGTGACATACTTGTAATATATGATATGAACAAATTGTTGAATGTGGTTCCGATGTATAACAGGCTGAAGAACGATACCGACAAGACAGAATGAAACTGAAAAAAAAAATTATATTATATTATTAAATAGGCACCGTATAACTAAGCATATATATTAGCGCACAATATAATTTTTAATCATTTTTAATCATTGAAGATGACACACGAACATTTTTCAGTTTTTCTTTTTCTCAATTGAATTTTGTATTCGTATGTGTTACGCGTTATGGTGTTCTATACAGCGGTGGTGAGCGAAATTAGATTAACTAAATGGATTAAAAAGGGTAAGAAGATGAATAACGATATTTTCCCCAAAGCCCAATAAAATATTAAATGGTTTCATATATTTCTAAGGGGAGGAAAATAAGTCTCGAGGAAAAAGGGGTACCGGAAAAGTAGATGTGGAAATAAATAAGTACCAGAGAAAAAGTGGCATGCAACTAAGTCTCGGGAGAGGATTTGGACTAAGTAAATTAGTAAATAACTACATTTTTTTCTGAATAAACGTGTGCATAAATTATTAATTTTGTTTTCGTCTTCAGTATTTTTTGTTAATTGTTATTGCTAGTTCACCAAGTTCATACAAAGATAATTTTGCGCGGCCTGCAGCTGTTTCGTACCTGATCTATATTGTATGTACTATACAATGAGTGATTATAATTGTATTTGTTCAGGTTAATGGGTATTTAAAAATATTTTGAACATTTAGATTTATATAATTTTTCCCCCGGAAATTATTTTTATCTCCGGTTACTTATTTCCAAAACTTTTATCTATCTCTTTATAAAGCTACTACTCGGCACTACTCGATAATCACTATAGTGTTGTTTACACAAAATATTGATTACATATAAGAAGAACGTCTGATTGTTAAATATATATAGATATAGATACATATTGTAAATGTCCCAACAATTCAACTATTAATACACAAGAATAGAATACTATAAAACAAAAATTTTAATTATTTTTTACATTAATTTAGTTTTACAAAATAAGTTTGTTATACTAGTAAGTTCATCGTGATAACTGTAACTTCTAATTTGACTTTAACTCACTGAGTTAGTGCTCAGATTTGTACGCAGAAGTATAAGAAGATAATGCTGCGTTGTATAAATTTTAAGTTTATATTATATGGTCTGCATGTGGGGTAGGTACCTATAGTTTATTCAGGGTTTAAAATTTAAATTGGAAATAGAGAAGGAAACTTCTATTTTTCCTTCGTGTGACAAGAACACAAATGAAAACAAATTCTTCCGATGTGTTTTCAACAAGGAACTATGACATTATTTTTATACGTCATTGATAAAACACAAATAAACATTCTATGCTAACATTGTACATAAGTAATGTGCTACCAAATAGATTGATAGGTAGAACTGTAGAATAGGCACGGTGGAAATTGGTTGTAATAACATAGAATATTAATTTATTTATTGAAATCAATAATCTTTTAAGTGATTTTTCAATACATAAATGTAACTATATTATAATAATCAGTATTTTTATTGTTTAATTACCTACTAAATTAAGTCATATTAAAAATGGAAATGGCAAGAAAACTTTTTCAAAAATTAATCAGAATACAACAAAATACAACTAATATATGTATATGCTATAGCTATACAATTAAATGAATGAAATTAATTCTGTTGTTGTATAACTCGAAATAATACGAAATAATAAGATATAATACAATGATAGATACGGAAGTTGTTATTGTTTAAACCTATAACAAATTGATGATGGGATCTTTTACCCACTTTTTAAGAATCAATATATTTAGTTTTATCCGATTTGTAATAAGAGAGTCACATTTTAGTTAACACAAACGAAATTTGGTTTCCTACAAAACCGACTTTACTATGAAAAATTTTCACTGAATATTTTCACCATTTTATGCAAATGCACGACATAATATACCTCCCAAAGTCCCAACACCTAATACTGCAGCTCATGTCTAAAATATGATATTCTTATAGTAATGTAAATCTGCAAAGGTTATTTGCAAATAATTTTAGTTACAAATAATTTTAAAATTTGTTTGTTCGAAAAGCTTTGTACAAACCCTGTAACTGACAAACTGCACACACAAGCATATTCAAAGTGCACGTGTGAATTTTTCAATTTATTTTATTACACTGCAAGTCCGCGCGCTTTTGTGTGAAAGTAATAATAAGGATTTATATAGATCAATAAATAAATTACAATAATAATAAAAAATATTCAACGAGGTGGATGAGATGCATTGAGAATGTTTAAAGAAATTATAAATCACTGACGGATCGCTACAGCGGTAAAGTGCTTGAGTAATAATATTGTACTTGCACTGTTGCGTACCACGTCATCACAAAGATCAACATAAAAGACAAACATTTCACGCATGCGCATAAAAAAAGCACTGAGGCGAGAGAGTATAAAATTCTAACTCAACTTTTATCGCACTGTGAATATTACTTGAGGAATTTACAGATAAAATATCGTAAGAGCATGGTAAACGGATAAAGACAGATATACACTAGCTGTAACAATGTTACTTAAGTCTTAAGGTATGTAGGTACAGTTTTTTTTTTTTTTTTGATAAACATTTACAACAATTTAATTACATTAAAACTGTATTAAGGGAATAAAGGAATTTATTTTCAAACGTAACCTGCAATTGTTACTGTGGAATAGTTATTTTAAGAATTATGCGCATAAAAATAATAATTATATAATATATACAGTACTACAGCAGTACCCACCCACCCACTTATCCCACCTGAGGACTACAGTAATTAAAAAAAAAATGTATATAGTTATTATAAATTATAATATAAGAACGTGATATTTAAAATTTTTAAGAGAACTTCAATGTATATAGCAGGCAGCAGCTGTAGCAGGTTATCTCCGTTTAACACACGCCAAAAATAAAATAACCGAGATCGCATTTTCCGTTCCAAACGTCAAGGGCGAAAGGAGTTAAGTTTGATTTAAGAGTGTGCTGGCCTGTTATAAAAATTCAAAAGCTCAATACCATGCATGATAATAGCTGCAGGTAGGGACCAAACTAATATTTATGTTGATTATTAGGGTTTTAATTATTTTTTTACTTTTATCACACTTATTGTACAGGTATTTGCGTAAGCAGCACTAAACATATAAACAGGTGTTACGGTATGTCTATACTGATTGTACTATAAGATATTGCAATGTTATACATCGAAATTTTTAAACAAATATTCTACAATGGTACATGGCTCAAAAGTCTATGCTGTCTTATAAAATAGTAAAACACTTTTAACCTTAAAGATGATAACGAAATGTTCAAAAATCATGTCGTAATGACTTCAAAAAACAATATTTTCTAAAACAATTGAATTTACCGAAAACAAGACTATTAGGTAAGTGATGAAATAGTAGTTTTGGTACATGATACACATAGTGTTTGTCTTTTTTGCGGTCCCATACATACACCCACTTACATACATACATGGATATACATCATACACCCGCCTCCTGCAGTCAAAACGTTTACAATTACCTAACCATACAAATATAATATCATACGCGAATACTTAATGGAAACTAAAAAAAAGTTAAAATTAGGAAAATGCGCATCAATTATTAGCCCGACTCAGACGAGTTTTATATAATGTGGGTTAATGTTGAAGAAAACAAAAAAAAAAATATATTTTTGTCATCCATTCAAAGTTATGCATGGTCTGATAAAATAAACAACAACAATTTTTGTCATCGAAATATCTTTGAGCTGAACAATTTTAAAGTTAATTCAGACCCTTCCTCGTGTTAAATATCAATCATCGGTATATCACTTATGCTAATTTCACATATAACTTTTGATTCGACTAGTCGCCCTCCAAGGCCAACATTAATAAAGTTATTGAATTGTTTTCTTTACTCAGAGCCCAACATTAATTTTGTTTCTACACAGATAGGTTGGCTTTAACAGTTGGTTTCTAGTAGAAAATTAGATCTAGTTGGTAGTTTGGTTGTTCGATAGTTCAAAAGTAGAAAATTACCTCTACTTATCTATATTATTGGGAATATCTAATAAATAACAGAGGAAAAATGGAATACGACACAAAATTTCGATTAAATCGAATTTATTATTTTTGTTCATTTTCAGAAAGGAATAACCAATGCAGAGACTTGAAATAATCATATAATATTTATAAAAGCGTTTTCAATACACGATATAATTTTCAAAATATTGTGCATATTTTTTTGTTATTTTAAATTTTCTAATTTTTTATAGTTGTCTTGAGTTTAGATGTCGGTTAAAGTGTTTTCGTTGTGTAAAAATGTTCGACAATTTAAACAAGTTTTATTATAAGTTGTTACTAAAGGATTAAAAAATTATTTAAGATACATTTGCACTATTTCGTTTTATAAGCATTAAAAGTTTAAATTTTGACAAAATCAAGAAAGTTTGCAATTAATGTATCGTACCTATAGTTAATATGTATTTATCATGTAGCTTACAAAATATTCAGTTTTTGTAGCTCAGGATTGAAAATGGTTTCTCATAAGCAGTTCATACTGTAACCAAACAATCTAAAAAAATATATTAACACAGTTTTTTAAATTAAATTTTAATTTCAAACTTGGACGAAATTAAGAATAATAATTTTAGTTATTTTCTTGTAATTTAAGAATATTATTCGTGGGTGCTTGAAACTTTTAAAGTATATTAATATATTTTATACACACGATGACATTTTCAAACACGATGTTTTCGGCTAAAATTAATTCAACCTATTATTTTTATTATTTTATCAAAACTTATTTGAAACCTACAGTACAGAAGTGAGTAGTGTGATATTTCCATTATTTTTCAATTGTAATAATTCATTTTATAAAGGTTGAGAAAAAACCTTAAGCTCACTATCAGAGAGGGGGGAGGGGATCTCATACAATTGCCTCCCTTCAAACACGGCATTACTGAAGCTTGATTTGATTAAAATATTAGTACTTATAATGCAATGAATTAGTTTAAAAATATATAAATCCATGATACTTGAAATATTTACCAGTTTGGTATGTGTTTGCCTGAGGTTGAAAAATCGGCTCATGTAGAGCTTCGTCGTCACCCAGCAATCTGCCACCCACTCAGAGATATCCGTGAACGTACGCTCCTTGTCTTGGTCCCAACTGCTAGGTGGCAAGATTCTTTGAAACGGACCACACACGATGCAATCCAACAGAGCGACGCATAGGCCGGTCATCCAGATCATGTTTAGTATCGAACAGTTGACCAGCCACACATATCTAAAACCCGAGTGATAACGGTAATATAATTATTTATACTATATGTAATATCTATTTGCTTGAATCGGTATGGTAATAGATCCAAATTGGATCCAAAATTAAAAAAGAGTAGCCCCAAAGAAATTTTTTTTAACCCCTCGCATCAAGAAAATTACCTGATTGGAATCTTTACGAATATAATTCAAAATTGTAAGAATTCAATTAAAAATAATATAAATATATGATTTCTCTTTTTTTTTTTTTTGAGAAATCGGTATTTAATTTTGGTCAAAATGTATAGTGTGATTTATAAAAATCCATATTATGTCCAAACGGGGTCTCGCAACAAAAACAAATTAAAAAGTCTATGTCAGCGCAGCAGCTGTGATCAGTACGAACTCTACTATTTCATGTTTGAAACAATATATAGTAAGTATTAACTAATAAGTAGGGCTCGGATTTTGTAGCAAAATAAATACTTAGAAAAGCATTTATTAAATTTAATTCTAAAAAAACAAATTTAAATTACACATAAAATTAAATATTAAAAAAGGAATTTACGACCATATATTTGGTCAGGTTCACTTTCATTTAAACTCATCCTATTGGGGGCTAATATATTTTTATACATAGAAAAAGACCTTTCCACTTTAACCGATGTAAACGGAGCATATTTCATATGAACTAAATCATTTAGCTTTCCTTAAGTCGTAAATACAGTCGTAATTTGGTTATTAAATTTTAGGTAATACTATACAATTTCGGCCCAATAACGATGGTTATTTTATCAGTCATCCGTTTATTACTGGTTTTTTCACTAGTTTCGTAATTTCTATCAATTATAATACAGTCCAAGTATAATATACATAGAATTAAGTTAAATTTTCAAGAAAAATATGCAAAAAAAAATTTTTAAAAAAAACTAAATAGGGGAAAAAGCAATAAAAGTTTACCTCATTGAATTCAGAACGATTCAAAACGTTATCACACTCCCATCAAAAGAAGCATTTGCTACAAAATCCGAGCTGTACTAAATAAGCAATGATGAAGTGTGCGAACAACCGATTTTTGATTACCTACAGTACCCTATAAGTATAATATCTGTCAGTGACGTATTTAGAAGAGGTACCAGGGATATGATGGAGTAAGGTCTATATTTTAAAATTATATGCTTTTATACCAATTAAGGAGGATCCTGTGGCAAATTGAAAATGTTCATGTAGGAATCAAAATCGAAATTCGAGCATGTAGTTTTTGAGTTATTTATAATCATGTTTTCTAAACATAATAATTTCGTGATAATGAGTTTGCAAGATATGTGGGCTAAGGTGATTTTAATTCTTTAGTAGTTTAACGTTAATTTAAAATTACCACTTAAGTAAATAATATTTTTAAAATTATTATTTTACACATTATTTGTTAAAGTAAAAACATTCTTATGCAATTATGTCTGATAATACACAGGGGTCACACAATGTTGAGAAAAAACTGTAAGCCCTGCACTTTTGGATCTGCTCCTGACTAAATACCTACTAAATACTGTGTCTAAGATACAATAGATACTATATTTTTCATAAAATTGCTAAAACACACAATATTCTAATATGAGGGTTAAAACCCGTTTTTTATACTTTGTTCTTAAAAGTTAAAATCCTTTGCTCCCCTCGTGACTACTCAACTATACGTCTTGACGCTCAGTCATTCATACCATTTCTTCTTATCACGTTGCTATGTCATTATGATAATTAACTTGTATTGCACACTGATAAAATAGTTTGTAGTCACAATAGAGTGAGGGAGTTTTTATGAACAAAGGCAGAATTTGATAGAAAACGCTTTGAACCGTTATAATGAAATACCTTATAGTTTGGCAATTTAACTTGCCAAAATAATTATTTAAAAAATATATTTCATTATTATTTATTTATATTTATAAATTTATAATTAATTATTATTAATTGTTTTAGATATTTAAAGTACATAATATTCTATTATAGTATTTGGTTAACCTACATTTATTATCTTGCATCTAATGTGACTATTTGAGTAATATCTAGTATCTTTATGAAGATATTTAATGTGTCTTGTATCTAGAGAAAAACAATAAACATTTATGTGTATCTATAATAATACCTTAGAAACATGTTTTTTAAATGTATTGTATCTTCCTCATTCCTGATGGATTACAATTTACAGTCAATCGAGGCTCGAGGACGCCCGCGCCACTGCAGTATTTTGCATGTAGTCAATATTGCGATGGCTTTACCAGTTTTCCATAATCGATTCCTCGTAAGTCAGTCGGCGCAGAGATTATTTTACACAAATGAACACATTTCTGGGAATTTATGTAGGGGCACACGTTTTATGTGTGGGTATAATACACAGACACTGTTATTAAAAAGTATGGACAATTTTAAACGAGAATCAAAATTAATTGGTCGGTTTATGTACCTAGATCAGATTTTAACAACTTTTGTTTTATACGTCCAATCTCAGTGTCGTTAATTAGATAATTGTTTTGCATATGAACAATTGCAACTCTTGCTTACATTCGCAATATTACTAATAACAATCAATTATTAATTATTATTATACATCTTTTTACTTTAATATAAAAATGTAAATTGTATTATTCATTATTTATTATTATCAATTTAATATAATAGTAGGTATAATAATAATATACAACGTCACAGAATGTCAACCTTATATTAAAATTATATAATTCATATATATATATATATATATTATATCTATTAAAATGGTCAGTGGGTGTATTTTATTTTTGAATAATATTATTGCGCTAAATTCAAATCGTTAAAAAGTATACAACAGTTTACGCAATTTTATATTTTGGTAAAAAAAGCTCAAAAACAATAAATAGAAATCGTATATTAATTTAAACAGTGTCAGTTCATTATGACAAGTCAGTATACCTTGTGTCCTAGTCAGTAGGTAATAATTGACTGTTGATTTTGAGTAGACTATAGTACTGATGAAATATTCTATGCACTCAATTATAACAAGTCAGAAGTAATTTGTTTCATTCATAAAGAATAATAATATACCAAATCAATGAAAACCATAACTCATTAACTTTTGGGAAATAATAATTTCAAAATGATAAAATTTCAAATTCATCAAAACGTATAGGTAATACTCAAAAAGAATAAATAACTGAAACGTTTTATCGTCACGTGGAAATCGAAAATGTTAACTAGTCGTATTTTTGCCAAGTTAACTGACTCCGTACATTGTACAATGCATGTTTTCTCTTCAGTTAAGCTATTATAATATTATATGAATTAAAAAAATAGACGGACTTTAATCGTCTACGAATGTTGACGGACTACCGAAACTTAAATTTTCTTCTGTGGTAGAGTAATAAAAAATAATAATATACATAAATGTAAAAGTATATATTATAATAACTGATCTGGTGAATTTATACATAATATAGCGAACCCTGGACGCAATTTATTATTCAAAATCCGGCCACGTTCCGGGTAAGATAAATAGACATTAATATACGTTATAATCATGTCACGAGAAATATATGAGCTTCTAGAATATTAATAATGTCTCCACGCCGTGTATCAAAGTTTAGCGGTAATATACAACACCGGTGCTGTAATTCGGCAGGACTTTGTGAGCACAAATTATTTTATTATTTTTTTACGGTAGAGGTAGCCGCCGATATTATAATGTTATACATCAAAAGAAATCAACAGAAATGAATACTCTCGATTAGACATATTACACCAGATATCCGTGTGATGTTAACCAGCCGAGTCAAATCAACACTCCCGATTACGCGTAGGCCGTAGGTAATAATTAACATTAATTTTAGATCTAACTTCTAAACAGGTGCCCAAATAGCAGTATTTACATGACGTGTGGTATCTCGTACATAGTAATATGTACCTCTATTACATGCATCAATTATTATTTACTCACCATTATATCATACACTGTTGACTGTTTGTGTTTCAAAGAACATACATAATACACACAACTATAATAATATAGGAAAAGCAGACGGGGGTTTTTTTTTTTTTTTTTGAAAAGGTAATAGCTGTTATGTATAATATCATAAATTGTGCACACGAATGAGTGGGTAGGTACCTAGTATGACGTGTATAATACAATATATACTTACAGGTATAAACTCGTTACACATATGACTGTAATCGCGGGAAACCAATTTTTTTGCCACGACATTATTGCGTTCAACAATACTATAATTTCTCTCCATTCGTTCATGCTAACTCTAAGTTCTTTTGAAATCCTTTCCTGTAACAGAACCAATAAATAAAATAATTAAAATTGTAGGTATCCATATTGCGATACATTATTAAAGTTCGACATATTATACCGGTACAATTTTCTTTGATGCTGTTCAGAACAATTTTCTCGACTAAATGTAATATTGTTTATTATGTAGATTGCAGGTAAGCATGGGTTATATAGTTGAGAATAAAAGTGATCTTGTATTTGTAATAGCTCGTACATTTTTGCCTATAGGTAATAATATATTGTATATATTCCTAAATTTCACTGAGTATTACCAAGTTAACTTTTATATTAAAAATACCCCCCTAAAATGACAATTGCATGGGTCCACCGTAAATGCGACTTTTAGTAACAATTATACAACGTTTATTAATCTACGGCAATACTTTTATATCAGCTTTTATCGACCAGCTATTAAGATGATTTTTAATTATGAACTTGAATTTAACTTTTAACGCTTAAACGTGTATACAACAATTAAAAATAAAAAACAATTAAGAAATATATTAAATTGGTTTTTAGTTAGGTTATTAAGTATTATACTGTCATCATGTCATAACTCTTTACACATTTTACTTTTAATTAAAAAAATACTTATAAAATGAATATTTACTCATAATTAGTTTAACGAAGCGATAAGAATTCTAAATATAGATTTGAATTTGTCGCCAAAACCACTTAAGATCAACTTTCCCACATTTTTGATATTATTCTCCAAATTCCTAAAAACGTGGTACAAAAAATGAGCAGTTAAAAAAATGACATATTTCAATTTTTGGAGAAGTCAAAACCAAAAAATCAAAAATGTTTTAAAGTTGATTTCAAGTAGATTCGACGACAAGTTCAAATCTGTTTTCAGAATTATTATTATTTAAATCTTAAATTCTTGTGTCACGAGTGACAGAAAAAAAACTTTTTTGGCATCGATGACAGTAAAATATATAAATATATATGAAATATAGTGACAATATTATTATTTATTACTATGATGTTTGTGAAATTTAGATGGTCCAAAATGCTTAAGTCGTGGGCGGCCGCTCAGTACATATGCACAGTGTGTTTTTAAGCAGAAATGAAGGCAATTAAACATAGAAATAATTCAAGTGATTCATGAAAATGTTACAGTCCTGATACTGTTATAAAATTACTTGTATAACGTCAAAAAGTATTCAAAATTTCAAACAAAGATTTCTACTTGACGAGATTTATTTTTATTTTTAAGCAACTTTGTATGAGGTATACACGAGTATTGGATGTATAACACTTAAACTTTTGCAGCAGTTTCAAATTTGTTAAAATAACGGTTTGATAAATATACCTTATACCTACCAAGTAACCGAATTTCTGTAAACAACAGAAAATACAAAATAATAAGCTTTAAATAGTATTATGACGGAATTAAATTTTTGTTTTTAACTTATAAAAAGTTGCTTGATAAATCTTCCGATCATGTTTTTAGTAGTATATCTAAAATGTCTACGAAGAAATTATAAATTCAAAGTACCAAACTTTGTTAATAATTTATTATAAACGTACACTACGCGTATTATGGATCATAATATTTTCATTTTGTGTATCTATTATTATTATTATTTTTTTTTTTTTTAACGAAAAGTTGGTGTGTCATAATGTCCTAATTACGTCATGTCAAAACAGCGGCGGCCTCGAAGTTTTATCCATTCCGAAATCCAAATCATTATTTAGTACATTGTGCATTCCCAACTTTTCCAATCTTCAGAAAAAATGTGCACGCATTGATGGTTTCCAATCAATTTTACAAAACGGAAAACGCTAAGACTGGGACGGGACGATCGGAATTTTTGGTGCATTTTCATTACTGCAATAGTTTACATAATGTTTTGGATAATATGTTAGGTTATGATATTGTAATAACCTACATTTTTTAAATTTTTATCTAAAATTGTTCATTAGAGGTAATTAACTTGGTCGATTTTATCACTCGGTAAAATATTATAAGTCCAAAACCACTATTTTAGTATTTTCTACTTTTAGATTTTTAACGGAACGATAAATGTACTGGATTCGGGTGCAATGACGTGATGCATGTGTGGTTTATTTTTTTTGGTCCGAAGACAAAAATAAGCTTAATATAAAGAGTGGGTTTTGGTTGCAAAATTTATCTGATTTGTACTTTGGTTTTGAGTATACAAAGTAGAAAATTCCTAGTCACGAAATCTTCGATAACCGTGGCAATATTTTCTAATTATTATTTTGTTGAAAATTCATCAAATTTCCTAAAAGGCTTTTCTTACCGGAATCAAAAAAGACAGTTAAGTGTACAGCTCAATATATTTAGAGTAATTTTAGGCTATTTATACCACGGTCGGTATTCATATCGTTCAAAAAATATTTTACTAAATAATTAAATATTTTTATTTTATATTTTTTACTAAAAATAATATATGATATAATATTACAATAGCTTTTGTGTTATTATAAATGTGGTATTTTAGGTAGAAATTAGTTCAAAATATCAAATAATTAACAAATAAATATATCTCAATAATAGCGGAAATTTGACATAACAGCCTGCTCAGGATCATTTTTTTTTTGTATGCTACTATTTTTTATTTATCACATCAAAACAGTGACCTACCTACTCAATGACGACCGAGGAACACTCGACGTCTCCGCACATACTGACTATTAAACACCAGGGTGACTTCTCAGTATTTGTTTTCTATATGCATGTATTTTTGACGCGCGTAGTTTAAGTAGTGCCTACATAAAAAAAATATACTTATAGTTATAATTAACTAAAAAAAATAAACCTACATACAAAGTACATTTTTAAAAATACTTACCTCAACGTAAATATATAGGGCACACACATAACGACCAATTTTGTACCCGTTGGCTGTTATGTTTGAGGGAAATCAAATGTTTTACGACCTAATAATAATAACAATACGACCGGACGGGTTATTTTTATATTATATATTTTATGAAATGAACCCTGACATTTTTATTTATAACACAATTTTTAGTATTTTCATCTACACCTTGTCATAAACTACGAAGACAAACAATTTCTAGTTGAGTATTTTACCGGGTACCCTAGGTTTTCTTAACTTTTAATTTTATCGAAATATTGTACTAAATCGATTGATCTCTGATATTATAATTATTAACAAAAGTTCTCAAATATTTTAACACATTACATAATTTAAAACAGGTCTCGTGGAAAAGCGTGTTCGGTGTTCGTGACACACAAATGTCGACGTTCTTAACCGTTATAAAAATAACAGCAATAATTGATAGGTATGGAAAGGTAATGTTTTCACGAAGTTCATAATGAAATATGTCGATCGATAACACATTATAATGGTACGGCACACGTTTTTCGCTTTCCATTATTTTTATTTATTATCGTTTGGTTAACTTAATATTATTGTATCGTAAATTTTTTCGATCATCGTAACCTACCTTTTATGTAGCTAGCTAAAACTATTTACTCGGAAAGCTGCAGGTTTTTTCCGATCTGAGCACTGTTAAATAAATCTTTATGCACCTCCATTGGGAGGAGAGACCGAGAGGGAGAGACTTTCGAATCGTTATAAATAATATGTATTGTTGTGGATCAAGAACGCCGATACACCTCTATAAAAGTATAACGATTGTGTAAAAATAATATTATTAGACGCCAGTACTCCACAAACCCGATTTTTAAGGGCGGTTTATAAACAATTGTAATGAATAATGGTATGTTGAGAAAAATATATATTTTAAATTTATTTAATACTACCAAAGTAACTATAGCAAGTGGTCCACCGTGCCAGTTACCTTATCGATTTAAAGGAAGAAAAATGGTGAAAGAAGCTCATCTGCTGTACAGTATAGATGTCAAGTGCACCACGTTATTGAAACGTTACTGTAATGTATAGTATAAACGCTCTCTATATGTGTCGCATTTGAATCAATGATAAATTGAGTATCAAAACCTAATCTGAAGGTATATCGACCCATATTACAAAGTTTATATTATGATATATTTGTGTTTTGTATTGCTATTAGAGTAATTTGTTTTACTGTTGGCAATACACGGGAGTTTGAAAATTTTTTTTCGGAAACATCGCATTTATTACATATTAATAATATTTAATTGTCATAATAGTATAATAGGCATGTTTAATATATTCTATATGTCATCATTTAATATTGTCGTTAACACTCGAATAAATACAGAACTAGGTAACGGTAGAACGGAGGGAATAGTGAATAGGTTCGTGGAATAAATAGACAACAGCTTAAAAAAATTAAAATTGACATTGAAATGTTATTATTTGTATGTGTAGGTGTGTGGATAATAACAATAATAATATACCTTTGTGTTCAATAATTTAAACGACTCAAAACAATAGTGTAAAAATAAAATGATTTTTTTTACAGAAGTTCTTCAAAAGAAATCGTCTGTAGAAACAAATTCAAATGAATCCCTGTTGAGTTTTCTACAAAAATAAATCTATAGGTATGTATTATGCCAAATGAACATACTGACTATACTGAGGCTACCATCTCAAGAAATTCGTTTTCAATATATTAAACTTCGTAGCGAATTCAAAATTCAAATATTTTTGAATACATTTGTGTGATTTACCTTTGGGTTAATATGATTGGCAAAAGATTGATATTTTTAGAAAATTACTACAAAATATAGTTAATATTCGTTATTGACATGAATTATGAAGTGCACGTGCGATAGCGCTTCTCTATATTTTCTTTTACACTACTGTCAAACACACTATCACAGGTGTAATGGATCTGTTACTCTGCACCCATTTACACAACACGCATGCACGCACACAGAAAATTTCCTATATTGTACTCCTTTAGAACAGTCAGTGTCCAATTCCTATTGAGATTAAAAACATAAACATATTTTAAAAAAATACTAAATATTATTCAAATATTCCGCCTTGGTGTATGCATTTAGTTTTATAACTGTGATCGCTTAGATCAAGTGGTTATTTTGAGTGCGTTAGACGGTTTACGATCAGTTTATGAGTGTGTAGAGTCCTCATCGAGACCAGGCACGCACGGGCTTCAGATTTAATGCAACAGTATTATTGTTGTGTCACAGAATAAATCGATTCGCGTTTTATGGTGGATTCGACAACAAATTTAACTATGAAGAAAAAGGGTTGACGAAAAAATGGTAAAAGCTTACGCACCGCCATCAAATCTGATTTTGCGTATAGACGAAGGTAACTCTGATTTCGATATAATATGATAATAATATTAATAGGTACCTATGCACTAAAATACCTTCAGCACAGCCGTAATACGTAGGTTTAAAATTCTCTTTTTTTACGACGTTAGAAAGGTTCGGTTAGCCGGTCCCGTTTTAAATATGATATAAGCTTTGATTTATGATTCTAAAATCCGGTGGTCCTTTAAAAGGATAAAAATCCGTTGTCTATGTAGTTGTTTCTCCACGGTGGGTGGTAAAGAAGGAAGGACGGACTAGACGGTCGTCGTCTGTCGAAGAAAGTGGAAGTAGATCGGTCATAATATAATATAAATAATTTAAAATAATACCTAAATAATATCATGGTCATGGGATGCAAAGGTCGTGGATGGTTAGTGTGCGGGCGGTCGGGTCGTGGAAGTTTTGCACACCGATCGCGGAAAGTACGGCTATCGTATACACTATAAAATATATATTAGGTATATCAATAATAGTACAAACGGCCGAACCTAAGTTGGACTGGACATTAGAAAACACAGTCAGAAAGGGAAAGAGTCCATACGCACGAATAGGACAATTTTTTTCCTTGGCCTTACGTCGCCCGTAATATTATTGATTTTTAAAAAAGTGGGGCGTAGCCCCCGCCCTAACTACAGTTATTGACCTACAAGTACAAATTATTAGTTGCATAAATTGTGTATTTTACGTTAAATAACTATTTTACTAATGGAGTAACACAAATATAAATATACTTGTTCTACGGAACAAACAACACCGTTTATTAACACTGTTTATACCACCTTACTTCAATACAAAATTGTAAATCATTTTTGTATTCAAACAATATTAATTATAGGGTTCAATTTCATAACTGTAAAAAAAAATGTAATGTAATTGACTTGATCGTGTTGGACTTTTATTCAAAATAAGAATATTTAATAAATAGATAGAAAATTCAAAATATTTTAATTGATTGTTATGCAAAACGTTATGGATGGTATTATTTTTTTTAAAAATTATTTTAAGTTAAAAATGTTTTATCGGATTTCCTATCAAAGTCCTATCTGATATTTAATAGGGACAGGTATAAAGCAATTTTTTTGTGGTTCCTAAGTTATATTTCTTGAACTAGAAAAAAAATTAATGTTCCTGCAGGTACATACTTACCTAATCCTGCTCTGAGTATTAGATTTCCAACGTGTGGTCAAGTTCACTAGAGAAAAATGTTTTTTTGAATTTGGTTCGAAATGTGGACAGAATAGTGCGTATAACATGGCCTATCCGCAATTCAATTTCTTTTTAATAAACCAGATTTTAAAGAATATTTCGGATACAAATTATCTGAGACTTTTATAAATAACAATAGTAGTCGTATAGGCTGTGCGTATTATAATTTGAACGTTATATACATACACCGTTACTCAGTGGCATGTATAAGGAAGGAACTGGTGTGCTGGTGGGCCCATAGCGAATTTGCAGGTTAAAATAATCATAGGCATGTGTCATAACTCATAGCAGGGCTCGCAAGTTCAAGAATTTGCATGTGTTTTTCTTGAAACGCAGGAAAACATGCAAACTAAGATACAAATTCGTTTCATAACAAAATAAATATACAAAGTTTAATAGGGCATGTTTTTGTATATTTTCAGCGTAAAGGTAAATTTGGCATAAACTAGGTTTTTTCAGAGTTATAAGCGCATATTTTTACATAAAAAAATTTGTTTTAACTAATAAAAAATTTCATTATTTTTGTTTCTCAGTGTTTCTGCAATTTACATAACTGTAGTATTTGTTTCGATTTTTTTTATTTTCGTACGACCACAGGTTGCACAATATACCACAGATTTAATAACAATAATAAAGTTAATAATGACAACAAAGTGTTGATCTGTAACGTTAGGTTTTTCAGTGTCATAAAATGAATAAAAAAAATTAAATTCGGATAAAAAATGGAAATATTTTATTCTTTAAAAATTATTGTCTATGATTTTTTTGCTCTATTTTTATTTTAAGTGCACGATTTAAAAACGTTAGTGAATATTTCAATGCATATTTTACCGATGTTAATTGCATGAATGCATGCTAATCTATGCATTTTTCAGTGCACGAACTTATGGGCCCTGCAGTATTAAGTATATTATAATACATGCGTATATGTCATAACTCATAATCATAATACACCCCAATCCATTTAAATAAATTGAATTGGCCTAAACTGAAAGTAATTCTTATACACTCCACTGCATAGTGTTCTCATGTATGTTTTTTAACGTCCCATCGACATTTTTTACTTATTAATTCCCACGCGATTTCCGGTTTATCTTGTCACGGGCCACGGAATTTATGTGAAAACGTCGACGAACAACTAGTAAGCAAGTAATTTATAAAAAAAAAACAAAACCCCATAGAATCGTTTACAAAATCGTACAAGGTCGTCGTCAGTGTTAACACTGACAACAACTGCACAACTCAAGAACGGGCTAAAATATAATCGCGTGCTTTCGTTCTTTGACACCGAGCGTGTGCAGGTCTCGAGTGGTTGACGCCAATAATACATTTAGGCCCAGTCGTATGGACCGTACTTAGTATCTACTCTATCTGTCAGTGTCAGAACTCGGATGATAAAATAAAAGACAAATATAGTCCAAATATTTCCAAACAGTCTCGGAATTTTTTGATTGTAACAGATTAGTGATGATTACTGATTACTAGGTATAGGCATAGATAGTATGAGAATACTAATATTATCTATGGGTATAGGTGGCACGAAGTCCGCGACAACAGAATTTTATACCTCTTTAAACATACAAGATTTTCAAGAAAGAATTTGGAGTGTATCGGTACGTATCGGGTCAATTTTGAGCGTTCAAGATGTTACACGTGCAGTATACAAGCGATACGTACCGACCCGTATCGGACTCGGACTTCGATACGAGGTGGTACGTAACTATTCCGTATCGATACGTATCGAATTTTTCTTCTTGAAAATCTTGATAGTGTATTACTATACGTCTATACTTCCCACAGAAAAGTATAATAAAGTTAGTCGTTTATCGTTAAAGTAATAAATACAAGTTTCTTAACCACCTTGCGAGAGTGATTTCATTTTTGAAGTTTTTCTACTTGTATTAAATCATATTAGGTTTATTTATTATTTAAATATTTACTTGTAGTTTTTTTGATTTAAAATATTTCAATGCGTTACATAAAATGAGAAACAAAAATAGAAATATACTCAGATTGTGTTTTCTAAAAAAAAATTGAAGTTCGAGTACAGTGTATCCACAGGTATTTTATAATTTTAATTAGATTACATTTTTTGTTTCGATTTGGTATTGGAAAATAATTTCCCAATAATACCATATAAAAGTAATATTACCGATAGTTTACTGAATTAAGTTGCACTAAAATATTAATTTTCTATTATAAAATAAATTCCCCAACATTACTAAACAAAAGTAATATTATCTGTGACTTACTCAAGTGGCATAGAAATAAATTCTACGTTCGACTCTATTTTATAGTACCACCCATGTCCGTGCTGTCAATACGTCATTAGAGAGCATACGAGTACGGATAACCTAAATATTAAAATTATTGTGGTGCCTGATCGCTAAAAATATAGTCATGATTCAGTCATGACGTTACACATATTATCAGCAGTCGATGTATTATTGAAGTCGTTAGTAAAGTTTGTTCTTCTGATTATCGAGATAATTTAATTACATTATTTATTAATATTATATTTTATTGGTGGTTGAAAACGGAGTTAAAAAAAAGTAAATAAATAACGGCACAAACCACGTGTTCAATAGGTACCCACGGATAAAAATATTATTATTTTATGGAGGCACGCCATAACAGTATTTCCGAAGAAGGTCGGTAAAACAGACGATAATATAATATTATTATAAGCTTCATTTTGGCAGGTATTTTAATAAAATATTGTCTGTCGTACAACACGATTATTGACTGTCAGACGTATTATAGTTATGGACGTTATGGTTAACACACACTGCTGCAGTGCGCCTATACTTGTCGTATGATACATAATATTATACGAAATTGGAGGGCGAAATGAATACCGACTGATTTGCAGTGAAATGTTTTACGAATGAAAAGTTCTTAGCGTCACGTGTTAAGGCGACGCATAACATCGCGCAGGTGTCGTCCTACAGGTGTGCAGACACGAACGACGACGACGAAAAATCTGTTCCAACTAACCGACTAATCCGTTTTGACCACAACAACAACAACAACAACAACAACAACAACAACAACAACAACAACAACAACAACAATAATAATAATAATAATAATAATATGCAACCGCACGTACCTTTTCCGGGAAATCGACGCATCCACCGGCGGCCATGTTCGCCCGAAATCGTCGTCGTGTCTAGTGAATATTATCGTGACGTATTGATATTATATTTTATGCTCGCCGAGTCGCTGGCTGGCTGGCGGGTGACCACTACGGAGTGTGCGACACGTCGACGACTGTTGCGGTTTGCCGAGGAGTAGGTCCGCAAAAAATACGATGATATCCGACTGACGACACTATACTGTTTCGCGGAATGAAGAATAATAATATATATCGTGTTATGGTGGTCGGCAATTGTCACGCTCGTATCGCTGTGCGACGCGACAATCAATTGATTTCAATGTTATCGTCGACGATCGGACTGTGTTGTTATCGTTATTACAATAATATATTATTATATTTTTATCGTATCACAATACGACGACGGCAGACGGAGCGGCAATGACGCTGCCCGCTGCAAACGGGTCGACGGTACGCCGTTTTACCTACCCGCCTGCCCACCTGTCGAACCGCCGAAAAACCTGAGAGGGACGACGACGACGACGACGACGACGACGCTCAGTGCAACGACACCGTCTCGGGCTAATAATAATACACAATAACAATCCAATCGTCTTAACTATTACGCGATACGATTAATAATTAATACTCGGTTTTGCCGTGCCCGCCGATCGTCGTAATCTCTGTGCAGATAACGCGACGGACGCGAACCGCACGATATTATTATGTGCCGGCCGAATATCCGAAGCACGCTCGCCCCGCTCTTATATGCTCGAACTGTGCGCGCGTCACATTCGAATTCTGATTTTTAGAATTTTCCGAGTGCAGTCGAATGCGATATTTTCGCGTCGCAACGTCCGAGGACATTGTCCTGTGATGGCGATACCGGCGTTTGCTTTTTCAAACGACAACCTGTTGTAGAAATAACGTTTTAAAGCCAAACGTGATCGAGATAATTTTTCTGCAAAATATCATGTTGATGACGTATTGTGATCGAAATTTGAACGAAAACTCTCTCGGTTATTCTCCTGCACACACGCGAAGGACTGAGGATAATTATAGGTGAACACTGTTTTTCTGAACTGCTTTGTAAAATGGACACGAGCTCGATGGTTATTTTATTATTATAATTCGGCGTGCAATACAAGATATCCGTCAATATATAGTTACTACCTAACCGAATATTATAATACTATCGAGCTCGTGTATGCATTCGCAAAGTATTTATAGTATTTAATATAGGCGTTATACTATCCTCATTCCTTGGTATGCAAAGAAGAAGAACACGCTTGAAAAAATAACCCTGCATAATGACATTAATTGCTAACCTAACCTACCTGTTGCAGGCTATTATTACCTACGCCTGCGTTATTTTATATTTTATAGTGAATGTCGGTGCGCCGACCCGCCGACGACGGGACTTACAATAATAGTGATGGGAATCGTTCGAATATTCGAATAGTTTTACTGTAAGTAATTCGAATATTCAAATATTCGGGTATCAGTATTCGAATCTAGGACGTTTTATTTACCCCCGTGCCTTCCCCCCCCCCCCAATCCGATACAATGGACGTTTCCCCCACGGACGGGACAATTTCCCCCCCGGACAAAAAATAAATAAATATTAAACAACAATAATATACAATGCAAACAAATAAATGTACAAATGATTAAATTGATGATTGATGTATAAATATAATGAATATAATAAAACAATAGTATAATAAATATAATTGTATAAATGTATATTTTTATTTTTTTTATTCTGGTAAGATAGCTCACTGAAATTAAAAAATTTTAAATATCACCATTTGAAAAACTTTCACATAACTTTTCTAACCCATCATCTTTACTTAAATTATTACGAAAAGCTCCTGCTCTATAATTTAAAATTTTGATTGATTCACTTTAGTTGCTCATCTGTATAGAGCTTCAATAAAAAGCCAAATATTTGGATGATACGCAATGTTACGAACTATACTAACTACTAAGAGACATGAAAGCAAAAAATGTTGTTAATGTTTTAGATAATTTGAGGTTGGTTTATTAATCATTACCCATTAAATTGGGTAATAAATAAATAACGTGAATGATGATAATCGATGGATGCCGATATGGCGATATGATATAATGATATTATATTATGATGATCGTATATTTCGGGTAAATCCAAAGAACCTATTTTCAGACCTATTATTATATATTTATATGTAAAAACAAGGTATATTGAGTCGGGGGAGAAACGTCCAGGTACCTCAGTATTCGAATACTATAACTTTTTTAGTCATTTTTCCATGATAATGAATTGTATATATTTATTCAATTCTTTAACCAATTTTCGCTCCCGCCAGCCATGTATTCCTTTCCTTTACCCTTTTAATAGATTTATAGGTTAGCTTTTATAGGTAAACACAGGGATAATATTTAAATACTATTGTTTTAAAAACAAAGTCTTGATAGTTTTGTACGCTCTTTTAGGCCACTCCAATATTACCCACTCCTAATCAATCACTAAGGAACCTAGACCAGTGTGCGACTCATTCAAACACCCTCATTACAATCGAACACATATCCGTCAACTGTCCTAAATTCGCATCTGCACGTCACCCCCTCAAAAATGCTACATCACTCGAAGAAGCCCTCAATCAGACCAACATCGCAAATATTTTCAATTTTTTTAAACTAATTGATTTAGTTGATAAATTATAATACTCCTGTATAAAATATCTTTCTAATATTGTGTGAATACTTTTAGTTTGTTAATAACACTAGGCTAATAATCTTCGTATCTGAAGCCTTTGATCAAATAAAAAAAAAAATAATACATAATTTAATATTATAGGTGTAACAGAAAAATAATAAATAATAGTTGAAAAATAAATATACGATCATAAGTAATAGTTTTACGCGATAATATGTTCAATAATAATTAATAATTAACTTGTACTTTAAGTTTCGTCGATAAATATCATTATTATTATTATTATTATTATTTATGTTGATTAATATTTTGTAGTGTCGAATACTGATAATCGAATTATTCGAGTATGTATTCGGATATTAGAAATTATTTAAGGTTACACTATTCGAATACTCGAATTATTCGATTATTCGAATGTGCATTACACCTCTAGTTTACAATCCATTTTTAGGCAAAGGTTTCGAGTTTTAAACAAAAACCGTGTAATACAATATTTAATAATTTAAAAGTGTGTTCGAAGGTTGCCGAGTGGGTTCGGTCTTTCCGTAATATTTCTCTTTCGTAATAAAAATATTTATTATTAGGTGTAGACTATTTTATGGGTAGGAGGGAAGTGAAATATGGGAGGGTTGAAAGATGGTCGGCATATCGGCAGCCGGATTTTTTTTTTTTTGGTCAAAGTTAAAAAGGTATTTTCGTTAATTACGAATTAAACTTAAACTTTGAAAGGAAATGAATTACAATATATTTCTTACAATCGTCACTCCTCGACAAAAAAACCTTTGAATTATGAACTATATGAAGAGTTCCGGTACAATCGATTATAGTCTATAGAGAGTTGGGTAGGTAAGTGCAGGTTGCCCGGCACACCGTATGATTAATATATATCCGCAATTTATTGTTGTAACTTGTAAACAAATTTCAGATGTATTGATTTTACGCAAAGCCCATTTTTGACTAAAAATGATCAAGACGAATGTTCAAATTAACATTTCTTAAGTTTTTTTAAAACCTTTTGTCGGCTAAAAATTCAGATTGAGCATTATGTAATACAAGGATCGTCTCTATAATAGAAGATCAAAAATATAAGCATGGTTTTTTCATCAACAATTCGCAAATTATTTTGGATTTGAAAATGTATTAAATGTTCAATTCTTATGACTAAGGGTTGAATATTTAACAACAAGATTTTTGTCAAGTATTTCATAGTGTGACTGAAAAATTTAAAAATTATATGAACACAGTTTTTTTAAATAGACATTTTAAGTTCAAATTCCTACGAAATATAATTAGACGTTTAAACTGAGAATAACGATTTTAGTTGTTTTTTTGTAATTGAAAAATGTTACACGCGGGTACCTACTTGAAACATTTAAATTATATCAGATAAAATGTTTTCCGGAAAATTAATTCTATCTGCTAGTGATAAAACAAAAAACCTCTAATAGCAATATCATAAAATATACTTATATAGTTATATTGACCTATATTTTATATTTACTGGACGTCTTCGCTCAGAATTGTTTTTTGTATAAAATTATATGATATGATATAATATTGAATTCAAATTTAACACAATATCCATTACAGCGACACACACTACACACAATGTACAGCAAAGCGATACCCACTTGCCCGCCTTTGTGTTGTTATTATAGTTTATGAGAATATAAGAAACGTGTGGAATATTAATTTAAATTATTAGTTTTTTAAATTTAATTTCCACCTTCAATGTCATTTTTGACAAATCCTATATAGCTAATTGATAAATATTATGATAACATGCCTCCTGCTCATGTTCAACTCGTTTGTTTTTAGACTAAACTAATATAATATGCGTTTGATTTGCGGCGAAAAGTTATTTTAGAATTCGTCATCATTGATCTGATTTTCAATTTCTTTTCTAATCTGTAAACATGGTGTTTTGAGTCAGCAATTTTTGTATGACAGCCCCCCCCCTCTCAGTTTTCTGGTGCCAGCTCTGGAATAGTACAGTAATATGAGGAAAATCTCAACGTTTTTTTGTAAAGAACTCAACTTTTAAATTCCATTAAATATAGAGTTTTCATGTTAGGGCAAATCTAATAACTATAATAAGTATATTGTACAGATTTATACGACGGATAAACAAAAATGCGATTCTACATTTTAATCGATTACAGCTCATTCCCTCAAAAAGTATTTCATTCATTTAAAACGTGTATCACACTGTTTAAATAGATGTGTTGAATTGCAATTCAATGATAAATCGTCGACTAACTATACGTTAACATTTTTTTTTTTTTTATACATCCACGTGGAATCTTGTGTTAAATTTTCAAACTTAGGATGGCCCGTACCGAAATAAAAATGTTATTCAAATTTTCGAGTTTTTGATGAATTTCGTAAACGATAAACTGTCTTCCGAAGTTCCAATTAAATACCATTAATTCATTTCTCTTTGGTTAAAATATTGTGAAAATAAAATACGTTTGACAAGACGTCAACAACAACGTAGGTTTAGTGCAATAATATTGGTGCCGTCTCGAATGTCGTCGACGATAATCATTTTCTGAGAAAAATGCGGAAAGTCTTGCTAAAAATGGTCGAAAACGAAAACCTGCAATTGTGTCGGTTGAAAGCAGAGGTCTCATTGAACGACTGGGCATAAAAAATAAGCTGCTAAAAATCAAGACGTTTATTCATTTTTCATTACAAAACGATTTGTACATTTTCGTGATTTAGACGAAATACGTGAAATCCTTAAATTCATATTTTC